GATTTAGCGGATCTCTCGATTTAACGGATAAATTTTCTGGAAAAAAATATCCGTTAAATCGAGACTCACTGTGTAATTATTAAAAAGTTTCTAATAAATTTTAATTTGATTATAAAAAATAAAAAACCTCGGATTATTATTATTATTATCGTCGTCGCCATTGTTATCGTTGCTGTTATTGTTGCTGTTATCGTTGTTGTTATCGTTGTTGTTATCGTTGCTGTTATCGTTGTTGCTGTTATCCTTGTTGTTGTTATCGTTGTTGTTGTTATAGTTGTTATCAGAAATTTCCATATTAATATCATCATCATCATTTTCAATATTATTATTATTATTATTATTATTATTATTATTATTATGATTATTATTATTATTATTATTATTATTATTTATTAAACGGTTTTATATTCCACTCTCCATCTTCCTTTGTATATGTTTCAGTAGAACCAGTACTGATATTGTTGACAGTAATGGTATTCGTACTAGTATTCACCAAAATTTTGGTGTCAGGAAAATTGTTGAGGATGTTTGTTAATGAATGCTTGAATGGTGTGCTGAGTTTCATTTTTAATCAATAATAATAAAAATAATAAATTGTTTGAATATCAAAAATTATTACGTACGTATTATATACAAAAAATATCGCATGTTAGAACTTTTTTGAACAATAATATCGCATGTTAGAAGAATAATATCGTGTGTTAGATTTCTTTAGAAGGATAATATCGCATGTTAGAATTTTTTTTAGAAGAATAGAATTTTTTTTTTAGAACAATAATATCGCATGTTAGAACTTTTTTGAACAATAATATCACATGTTAGATTTCTTTTAGAAGAATAATATCGCATGCTGGAACAAGTTTTATGTGCCACCACTACATAACACAATAATAATAATATTGCATGTTAGAATTTTTTTTAGAAGAATAATATCGCATGTTAGTACATTTTTTTAGAACAATAATTGGTTTTATTAATATATGTATTTTTTTAAAGTTAATAATTATTATATAGTAAAAACTTTGTTCCTTATCTTTTATATACAATTTAATAAAGTATATTTATTTATTATTTATTATATAGTACTTTTAAATTCAAGAAAGAAAATCAACATTAGACGCAGAACTCAAATCCTAATTTTTCAAAATACATTATTTTTCATAATAATTCATCTTGTTCCTCTATTGCAATTCTTCAATTATTAACAATGATTTAAAAAATTAGAATTCTTGGTTTAACTCCTGACTGTTAAAGAAAAAATCTTGACGTTACCTATTAAATTCCAATGAGTCGCATAGCACGAAACTGTAATTCGGATATATAAAGACCTAAAATTCTTCAGCATAGTGGAAGTTTGTTGTTACACGAAATGTCATACAGAACTCATTGCTCCTGATAAAAAATTTGACTGATAATGTTGGGAAAATATTTGGTATTAGCGGTGAAGAGTTCTTAAAAAAATTGGTAAATTTTTTTTAATATACACACCCTAGACAAAAGTTTTCGGACACCTGTTTTTACTAATTGCGCAAAACTACACATAATAACTATACA